GTTTCTAGGTTCCTTTACTAATGATGCCAATGGCTTGCTCCACACTCAGAGCAAGCAGGAATGAAATAGGTCTTTGGTATTAGAATCTGTGTAAATGAACTATATACATGCCTGATGTCAGATGGGACTTAATTCAGCAGGAAAGTTAGTGAGGCTTTCCACTTGTGATATGATTCTATGAAGCAGAATATTGCTTATTTCTTCTGGAGTTATTCCCTAGATCTTTATCACATTCTTACATGTAAATTAAATAGTAATTATGCCATGCTGAATGATCCATCCTATTTCCTAGGGGTGATGCTGAATCAGTATTTAACTGGACCTATGAAACCCAGTAGACAGAATAAACCTTAGGACTGTTCAGGCACAGATCTAGGCACTTTTTTTTTTAAACAATGAGACCTTGCTAAGTGTTCCAATATTTGTTTCTTAGTTTCTTCCCTTGCACTTAGGAATAAAATGCATCTTCCTATGGGATCATTATAAAGAGTAAGAATACTTTTTACAGTTCAAAACAATGAGTTAGTGTGTGAAGTATTTGCAGAACAGTGTTAGCATAAGAAGTGCTTTAAAAGGTTAGTTCTTATTAAGAGGACTTCTGTCTTTGTTGTTGTTGTTTTTGAGACAGGGTTTCCTTGTGTAGCTTTTGGAGCCTGTCCTGGAACTCACTCTGTAGACCAGATGGCCTCGAACTCACAGAGATCCACCTGCCTCTGCCTTCTGAGTGCTGGGATTAGAGGCGAGTGCCACCCCTGCCCGGAGACTTCTGTTGTTTTAACTCTACAGATTTTGTTTTATGTTCCTATTTTACATGAATTTAATCATTTGGAAAAGCTGTCTGTTATATTCTGAATGTCCCACCTGTAAGTTACTTGCCCCTCTTGATTTATGTTTCTCATGGAAACTTAGTACTATAGATGACATATCAAGAGAATTGATAATTTTTCTATGATTGTTTTAAATGATTGTTTCTCTCCTACAAGTATCTCTCAAAGTTCTGATAAAATTTGGAGATTATATTGAGTTCATTTGATGGTATGAGAATTGAACCTTCTGACCTCATAACACTTTACCATTGAGTGACCTCCCTGACCTCATATTTTTATTTGTAAAGACAAAGGGCTTATTTTGGATATTGTGAATGTATTATGACATCCATCCTTTTTAATTTTAAATTATCTGATTGTCGATAATTGAATTATTTCCTATAATATTTGCACAGGTTGTTTGTGTGTCTTTAGTTTAAAACCAGTTGCTTTGATTTAGGATTAAACATATCAATGGTGAAAGATCTTACCTTATTCAAATTCTCTTGGAAATAAGTTCCATCCTAGTGCCGGTTAGGATTTCAAGAAAGGTTAACTCCAGGGCAATTTCACAAGAAAGTGATCCTGTAGAAAACATCAGTCTATTTTTTGGATAAAAGATATACTGCCCTAATGCCTCCAATAGCAATATTTATTGTGTTCACACTTGCAAATATTAATAAACATTTACTAGATTATAACATTGTCAGAAAGACAATTAAAGGGGACCTTTATTCAAGAAAAGTTCTCATTCACATTGCCACCCTAGGTGATTTGCTTCCTCACAGACATAGGTGTGATTATTTAAAATGTAATTATGTGGAGATAGGCATCTGTCTTAACCAACCATACTTTCAAACTATAGACTTTGCCCAGCAGATGTTTCCATGTAACATTAAAATTAAGTCTAACATTAAAATCAATTGAAAGGAAATAAAATACAAATGAACTTGGAAATTCATTGACTTTGACTGTGATCTCCCTGGTCGAATGTGGAGTTACAGGGAAGAATGGAGGCATTACAGATACTAGCTAAATGCCATCATTTTCTTCAGCTTCTCTCCACCTTCCCAATTTTATGGTTTTCCTGTATCTTTCTTACCCATCCTAAACTTTGTTTGTTTTTCTCTTCTGATTTATTTTCTTCAACTCTGACAGAATACTATCAATAACAGTGATATTTCTCATTGTTCTTGGGGTCCTATATTCTGTATTTTAAAATTCCATTCAGGACTTGAAAGTCAAAATGAGGCCTCACCACACTAACTCTGGCAGATTGTCTTACTGACTCTTCTTGTCCAAGGAATTTTCTTTTCTCTGTTTTTTCTCTTCAGCATACCATGATCAGTTTAACCTTCTAAAAGCAATATGATTACACTGTAGCTTATGATTGAATTCCCCTTTCCACGCAGAAACTCCACAGCTCATACCAAATGCATTTCTAGCTTCCTGGCACACAACTGTGTTCTCCTTTGCCATTTATAACTCAGCTTTCAAATACAAATCCCATCATTAAGTGAGAACAAGGGCCTTTCTCATTTATTGAATTCCTGCTTTTGCCAGGAATCTTCATAGGTTCTTAATACAGATTACCTTTACTGAACTCCTAGACCACCTGTTAAAATACGTATTAGATTCAGATATGAACAATGAGGTACAGAAAGTATAGATAGTTTGGCAACTCCAATCCAGTGGACCTAAAATTGGCTCTTGCTCCTTCAGAACTTACAGAATGGCCTCCAGTTGGGCTGCTTCTTGTGTCTCAATTTTGTTTTTTGTTCATCATCCTTTGCAACAGTAGATTGGATTGATTTTAAAAAGGAAATTGGGACAATTTGAAGAGACAAAAACCAGAAAATAGGCTAACAACAGTTTTTGTTTGTTTGTTTTGTTTTTCGAGGCAGAGTTCTCTCTGTAATAGATCTGGCTGTCCTGGAACTCGTTTTGTAGACCAGGCTAGCCTGGAACTCCCAGAGATACACCAGCCTCTGCCTCCTGAGTTCTGGGATTAAAGGCATGTGCCACCATACCCAGCACTAGCATCAGTTTTAAATCAAGTCTGATGTATACTCATGATGGATTATACTTCTGCCATAATGTATTTGACTAGAATGTGTTATGAAGTATGTATCTATCAATATAAGGCATTACTGCTGAATGCATAATAATACCTTTATCTCAAGGTCTTGTTAATGTATCAGTTTTTGACCTTAAATAGCATCTCTCTGTAGGGCATATTGTGAAGCATTGCTACTGTGTGTGTCCTGATGACTCTGGAATAGTCATTAGCAATTCATAGGTGTCATGCAGGTTGTGATATAGGACTTAAAATATCCTTATTCTTATTATTGTTTCTGTGCATTGCTTTTGAACAGGATTGTTTTACAAAGGTTTCAATCAAAGTTTCATTTGTACAAAAAGGAGTTTATTTAGATAAGTTACTGATAACATATAAGTTGCAAAAATTGCCATAAAATTTTCATTCTTGAGGAACAAATATTCAGAGAGAAGACAGAGATTTATGTTCATGTAGATTATGAGCAACCCAGTCACAAAAATTTTTATGTATGTATTGTATACAAACATTTTATTTTAATTATATATTAATTTCATTGTATCAAATTTGGTGTGGAATTTTCCCCTTTCAGTGTCATGAAATGTTCAAAAAATTTTGGATTTTTAAACACTTTAAATTTGCAATTCTGTATTAATGGTGCTCTGCTAACCTATAATATATTCTTCATTAGATATATTTACTTTGAAAATTACTTTTTAAATATTTTACTGTTTTATACTCTGTATCTGAAAACTTTGAAAATACACTTGAATCATTAACCCTGAAAAAAAGGGGAAGAAATTTCAAATAAAAACCCAACTTCTACTAGATTGATCAGGTTTAAGGGTACTGACTCTGAAAACAGTACAATCAAATTTGGGATCATCTTTTTCCCTCAAATATTTTTTTTTTTATGGAAATCTGAGCAAACTTTTAAAAAGGGACAACTACAACAGTCTTGTTTGGCAAAGTGGCTTAAAGTTGTAGTGCCCTGTATACACAGAGAACATCTTTGTGAGGATTTCATGTTGTCTAAGGCTCTAGGAAACGGTTATATGGCTTACTAAAGAATGGTTAATGCTCTCTGTTCAGTGAATTGGCTCCATAATATAACCATGTTGAATTTTACCAATTCATTGTGTGTCTATTTGTTTATTTTAAAACAAAACCAAACAGGGATTAACCTGATGTGGTTGCCCGTAATCCCAGCACTTGAAGGTGGAGTCAGGAGAACCAAGGGCTTAAGGTCCTCCTCAGCTACATAGTGATTTTGAGGTCAGCATGAGCTGTGTAAGGACCTGTTTTAAAAAATGCCAAAATCAAAAACTGTTTAGAGTAACATAAAGAGAATACAATTTTAGGATTGAAGTCATCAAAATTGTGATTTAGACAGTTCTTCAAGTTGAATTTCAGTATTGAAGTTTTAGACAATGAACTATAAGAGTATCTTCTCATATAAATGTAAATATTGAATGATCTTATGAAATTATTAAAAGCAATGTATTTAATATTTAGAATACCATGATTTTCAAAACTCTTATTTTTTTTTAAAGATTTATTTATTATGTATACAGTGTTCTGTTTGCATGTATCCCTGTAGGCCAGAAGAGGGAGCCAGATCTCATTACAGATGGTTATGAGCCACCATGTGGGTGCTGGGAATTGAACTCAGGACCTCTGGAAGAACAGCCAGTGTTCTTAACCTCTGAGCCATCTCTCCAGCCCTCAAAACTCTTATTTTTAAAAATTATTTACACAAATGATGATATATGAAAACATTTGTTGTAATGCTAAGTAAACATTTTATTTGGGGAAAATGTTTAAACCAATCACCTCCCCCTGTGTAAATCTTCATTTACATATTAACATTAGAATATTTAAATTAATTTGTCCAGTAGAGACAGAATTATTTTACACATGCTTGAGGCTGGGATATAAACTGGTAAAACTGCATAAATAATGTCTTTTAGATTGGTTATTCATTTTGTATATGATATTGTTGCTCATTAAAATGAAGAAAGAAACATGTTTTAGGCACAAAATACAAGAATTATTCAAGAAACTAACATACAAATGTCTTCACTGGATAACCTACCCTTTCTTTTCCTTTTTTTTTCTTTTTTCTTTCTCTTTTGCAGGTTTCTGACTTGGAATATCAGTGTTTATTTTTGAGGAATTTTTCTTTCTCTTGTGTTTGTTTTTAATTATTGATATTGGAATACAGAAGAGGAACCAGAAACATACTCATTTGGTTTCCCTTCAGAGCACTCATTCTTGAGGCATTGTCGCCTGAGAACACAGCCATGTGGCCACCACAGCTGCTCATCCTCATGATGCTTTTAGCACCTGTAGTTCATGGTAAGTGCTGTTGATTTTGTGTAATCCTGTAGTCATTCTTTCTCATAAGAGACCCTTTCTTTGAAATCTTCTCTTTGGGATGAGGTAACTGTTTATTACCTTACATTAATATCAGGAAGTACCGTAACATATACTCTGAGCTACAAATTTTCAACTTTTCAGTAGAAATTCTTCAAGTCCCCACAGAAATCTGAAAGGAACCTAAAAGGTTTGTCTACTTTTCATTTTTAAATTGAGCCCCTTCATATTTTATGTTTTGATTTAACAAGATAGGGGCAAAATCACCTGGATAATTAATTACACTAATTATTTAGTATAAATTTAGTTTGCATTTTTTTTGTACTTAAAAACATTTTTACTGTAAGAAAATGAGCATTTAGGGGAGAACGGAGTTTGCTTTCCCATAAAAAGTAATCATTTGTTTTTGATCGTGTTTCTTACTATATATAACCTTTAATATACAAACCGCAAACTGTGATCTCTTGCTAGAAACATGTTGTTCTCATTACCCAACTTTCTCAATATAAAGGGAACAAAATGCCATTGTTTGGAGAAAAATAATTTTATAGAAAATACTGATGAAGGTCATGATAGACTTTCTCCTATTGTTCATGTAGACTTCCTGGTACTTACCTAACTAGAAGAATTTAAATAATACATATTTAAAAATTTTTATAAATTGTGTATTTATTCAACATGAAATCATCACCTATATTTTGTGCAACTTTCAATTCAACATTCATTGAATTTCACTAAAAACTAGTAAGTTGACCTTTCTATGTATGTTCCCTTTCACAGTTTAAAGTTTTCTGCTAATGATCATTGGTTTTATATTAAAATGAAAGTGTTAATCTCTCCATAGCCTCTTGCTTCTGATAGCAAAGTAAGTGGACACAGCTCTATGTGCCACTGCTTAGGGGGTTTCCGAATATTAGTGTAGTGAGCCCCTGGAATGAATTTTTAGTTTCATTAGCTCACCTTGTTTTCTGACTGACCCATTGTTTTAAGTATGGAAGTTTATCAGTAATTCAGTAATGCTTTTGTAATCCTGATCCAGCTCTTATACAGTCTTAACATTTTGTACTATCCAACAAGAAAAGGTCATTTTAAAACAGATTCCTTTTTTAATTATCCATATATCTAAAGTCATTTAAATTATATTTTTTTACTTAAAAATCAAAGCAAAAAATCATTTATTAGCTTGTTTTGAAGATTAAATAAATAACGTATATAAATAATCCAATGTCTGAAGTACAAGTCTTCAAACATTAATTCCCTTGTCTGTCCCACAGTTTATTTTTATTTTAGTAATTATATCAATGCAGAATTGGCTGACCATAAGAGATGCTTCAGTTAATGCTGATATTCAGAAAAAAATATAATGGTACATATTAATATACACAAATTAATGTTCTAAAGTCACTCTAAAACTACTCTGTTTGAGGAAGGTTATTTAAAATAATGAAACAGTGATATAAGGAATGTCATCATTTCATAACCAGTACCTCAGATTGTCTAAAACATATACCTCGTATGTACCAGTTAACCCTACACATGGACAACCCCAAAAGTCATGGGTCTTTTGGGGGGATCTGTAATCTGATTGAGCGTGCGCACGCGCGCACGCACTCACACACACGAGAGAGAGAGAGAGAGAGAGAGAGAGAGAGAGAGAGAGAGAGAGAGAGAGAGAGAGAAAGACAGAGAGACAGAGAGGAGAGGGAGACAGAGAGAGACTAAATGGCAGAGACAGAAAAGAGAGAATAAATACCTGAAACTCTGAGCAGTAAATAGTTTTAAAAAGTTGCTAGTATACTTACTTTATGTTTATTCTAAGAGCCAAAATAATATTGTTTTGTATTTATACTACCTAGATCACCTTAATGTTGTTTATCCTTAGCAGTCCAAATAATATTGAGGTTTTCTAAGGATAAACTTTATCTTTCCTACTTTTCCTGTTTTAAAACTTTGAACCATGGAAAAATATGATTCCATTTTTCTACCTTCTATAGAAAGCCTTCTCTTTAGTTAGTGTGATGCCATTTCTAACTTTGCAGAAAAGAAAGGCCTTTAATGGCCAGCTTTTGAGGCCCAGATTGCTCACTCAGAAATGGAGACATGTGCTGCTGTTTAGAGCTCAAATATAACAGGATAAAAATTATTGGTGTTCCTGCCAATCTAGGCTCAAAGAAATACTGCATAAGTTGAATCATCAGACAGTAGAACTAAAATGCATGTTACTTAATGAAGTCTTTTTTCAAAAAAAAAAAATCTTTGATGGTATCTCTTCTGTTCCCTTCTGATGTCCAGTGAAGTTGCCCTTTATAAAAATGGAGTCCACCTTTCTCAATAGTAACTTGATTGGAAGTCCCTCCTTCAGAGCAAATAATTAGTTGAGATGCCTACTGCTTCTGTGGCCATAAACACGATTATTTGGTTCAGATCTTCCTCAATACTTCCCTAGGTTTATTAGCATTACCTGTTCTTATTGACATCATTAGTTACAGATAAAAATATTGAGGTGCTGAATGGGAAAGTACCTTGAATGGTGTTAAATAACTATTAACAACACTCAAGAGAATGCTCACCAAGGACCTGCTTCATTGGCTGGAATGCTACTCCTAGCTGAACCCAAGTTCAATCAAGGCACTCCTCACAGCATACAGTATCGTCTCCACTGTCTTGGAAATTCTGGAGCAATTCTGGCAGACGCTTCACTCACCTGCCTGTCTATATTCTGAGAGCAGACTGATTAGGTTTTAAAGTCAGAAAGAAATGTTGAAAAAATCAGCTCTGCCACCTACTAGCTGTTAACCTTCTTCTCAGCAAATTAGTTAATATCATTCATCACATAGAGACTTTCCTTGATGCTGAAGATAACAGTGGTGTACAAAAGACTTGTATGTCTGCCCTTCAGATGCTTAAAGTACCTTAAAATACCTAGTTTTCATCTGGAAGAAGAAAATTATTACAGGGTTATATTCAGCAGTGGATAAATAATAAATATATAACTCCTAGGATAGTGATAGGCATTTCATAAACCTCCCATAATTTTCCTATGACCTATTTACCTTGAAGTAAATCTAAACTCCTAAGGAGTAGGCAAGCAACTACAGAATTATCCTTACCCATAACCTGAGTCTTGGAAAAACAAACAAACAAACAAACAAACAAACAAACAACAAAACTTTTTACTTGAACCTCGTTTTTCAAGGTTTGTAGGAAATTTATAAATATATATGTACAAAACTGTTATCAATATTGTTATCATTTATATAAAATTATTACCACTGTGCAGAGATACTTAAATCACTCCTATAATTAACAACCAATAATTGTCAAGTGATGGATTCTTATGTGATCTACACATAGATAAAATTAGGAACTAAGCTAAAGGACTAATCCCTATAATGTTGATGCTAGTTGAATAATCTTCACATTAACCTACGTTGTCTGGCCAGTGCTTTCCCTGGGAGACAAAAATAATCAGTGCATGAACATTATATATGTTTATACATATGCAGTTGTAAATAAGAAGTGTCTCTGGTTCTATGTTTATCTGTCCACAGTCTGTGTCTCCGTGCACCTCTGTACTCCTCCTTTCTGTTTTCCATGACTTCCTCAAGAGCTATAGGATCTATGTGTGTCATGAGGCAAGCCTAGAGAAATTGAAAAGTGATGTCCAGTTCATGGCTTTACTATGGTTGCACAAAAATAAATCTATTTTGTATCATTTTATAGATATGGTTCAGAGAAAGGAAAGGAAAGTTGGAGAATCAAAAGTAGTGGTAATTTGTGTGACTGGGGCTTTTTCAGGGTGAGAATGAACCAGAGAATTGAGCATACTAATCAATCCCTCTACGTCTTCAGCTATACACCAGCTCCCTGGAACTTTACAATGTGCTTTTAGACAGAGTCTCTAGGAGTTAGTAGTTAACCCAGGAATTTGCAATCCCCTTGCCTCAGTTTTCCTAGTAGATTACAGGATAGCAGCTCCTGGGATTCCTTCTGACTGTCAGTAAAAGGACATCAAAGTGTAATGTGGGACCTTAAAGTAGGAGATCTATTCCTGGTCTATAGCTGCTTTCAAGTGCCAAAGGTTTGAGATTTGAAAAGGTGACCATGGTTCTACGATATTTTAACTACTCCACTTATTCAGACTTTCTTTATAATTATACTGAGTTACAACCAAGAAGATGGAAAATGTGATCAATCAGCATACTGTGATGAACAGGAAATCATATTTTTATAGCATCTTCAAAGAGAGAGAAAAGGGATTAAAAAACTTTAGAAGTACTCTATACATGTTTTTCATCTGCATTGTTAAAAATAAGTCCCTAGTTATATATTTATGGATTTTATAGGCTAATGTGTTACATTATGTCTAAGTTACTTATAATGGACAGTTCTTAAGAATAAAAGACTGATCAGGTCTGTATATACTTATTTATGTTTCTCTATATTTTATTTCTATAAAAATAAATTTCATAGTTGTATGCTACTTAATATTATAGTGCTTTTATTAATCTATACATTCTTAAATTGCTAAAATGATACAAAGTTTGACAAGTCCAAAATGACATTTCACTACACATTTTATCTTATATCTTTCCTCTGAAGAGGGGCCTTACTGTTGGTGAAGAAGTTAGGTCGACAGCTCAGCTCTACTTCACTTTGCTGTTTTCAGAAATTAATTATCCTTGAAATATTTATGTTTGCCAGCATAGGTGATTTGTAAGAGTAGCAATGTTCTAAGTATTTTATGGTGAGATGCACTGTACAAAAAAATGTGTGTCATGATTTTGGTGTGTGAGTTCAATGCGAATGCATCCAGTATTATAATCCATATTAGTCAATTTTTAAAGAATTTTAAAATATATACATTGTAAGTCACTATGCTTTCTGAATACCAAAATGTTAAATACCAGTATGATTCTAACACCATGTTTTGTTTATAGCAGTTTATTTAAAACTTCTAATATGAAGTTTCACAACTGAAA